CTTTTTGCTGATATTTTCCCCAGTTTCCTTCCAAAAACAGCAGGGCTCACAGGTGCTTAGATGGTAGTGGGACTCTTCATACTGAAAGCTTTGATCGGTTATCCAGCCTCGACTCTCCTATTGCAGGTCACACTCACCCTTTCACATGGTGTCAGGCAAAGTTCCTGGAGGGATGTCATTGGAAAGGGTGCGGGGGAGACATGATTTTCTGCCCCTTTTGTAAATACATTGACATGGTGGAATTTCTTGCATACTGTTTTGGATAGGCATTTCCCTCCCCATCTCTCCATGGAGACGAAAATTAGTTTTCTCAAAGTAATTTCCAATGCATTTACAATTACTCAAGCTTTAATTTTCATCTACTTTAGTGATTGTTTCCATGGATTTGTATGAAGAATTTTCTGATATTGTTAACACTGAATCTTCTGAAATCCATCTTTCTCCCGTTTTCTAACCCCTACCCTTACCTGTCTGTCCAAGTATCCAAAAGTTCCATGAATATTGTCCTGAGGGGAAAATCATAAGCTGTTCTCTTCAAAGATGCATCAACTCCTAGATTATTGCAATATAATTTCTTCACTTATTTCTTTGAGACGCTGATAATTAGTATATATCCTCAAAATTTTATCACAACCAAGAAGTGTCTTATTTGATAAAGGATAAGATTTTTTTGGCCTAAAATTCATATTTAAAATGTTAGTCTATTCAGCCATCAGCCTTTACAACAAAAGAGACATTCAAAATCTTCCAGTCATTTGCTTTCATTTTACAAATGAGAAAGGTGAAGGCCACAGAGTCTTTGAACTCCCAGTTCGCCTCCCTTCCTCTTCACCACATTGTCAGAAAGCAAAGTTCATATTTGCAGAATGCCATGAATTAGGGTATTACACATTATAAGTAATTTGTAACTGTGGTATTATTATTGTGGAAAACAATCATTGAAAGCATCAAAATTCTCTAAGAAAAAACGTGACATTGTTTGCACCCACACACGCTTGTGTTCCAAAAGCCTTTCTTTGCTTACTGTGCAAATGGTAAATAGAAATCCATATTGTTTCAGGTCTGATTCTACATCTGCTAATTGGATTTCTCTTTATGGATTTAGCAAGCCAATATTCATGTTCTTAAGTAAACATCTCTCTGAATGCATGCATATGACAAAGCTGACTTTCTTTTTAATTGGTGGAATCAATGACTAAATCAGAGGTAGGCCAAGTTGATTTTGCAAAAGTAATCTAGGTCATACTGAAAGGGCTTTATCCTTATTTTAGTAGCAGCCTTAGAACTAATGGAAAGGAAACAGAAATTTAGAATCCTAAAGGTCTTCCAAGGGCAGAAATTCATCTTTTTTCCTGACAGGAATGCCCACATTATTCTGAACTATTCTGTTTTACATCTAATTCCTAGCTGACAAGTGTCCGTTTTTCATGCTTATTCATTCGTCACCCATGTGTTCTCTCTGCCTGCAAGGCATCCGGCCTGCCTTCTATCACATCTCTCCAAATGATAAAGGATATGCTTAAAACGTTACCCACTTTCTGCCTGCAGAGTAATGCTGAGACATACTGAAATGAGCAGCTGCTATGTTGGACAACCACAATATATTCTGTGCTCGTTACACTACCTGAAAGCCAGAAAAGAGGTTTTATGGCAGGAATTAAAAGGATTTTTCAGGAAGAAGTATTGCCTTCTGGAAAGTTAAATGTAAGATCACTTTAGAAATTAGATAAAATTTACAGAGTTTCAGGCCAGAGTATTAAAACAAAATAATTATATAGTATTTCATGATGGTTCAGTTAAACCTGTCTCAAAGTACTTGCCTCTAAGGTGTGGTCACAATTCTCAATTAGGAAGCAATTCTCATAAGATGTGCCTTCATATGGCAGAAATGTAAAAACTGTGCCAAAAACTACATCATATCCTAAAAATTATAACACGCCACGTTCAAGCCCATCACCCCTTAATGGTGCCGCTGACTTTTGTCACCACAGAATTTTGCAAAAGAATAGATTCCCATTATGGTTATTTTTCCAGTCTGTGCACCCCTCAGTACAGCTTGGCTTCTACTCTTTTCACTCCTAAATTTCCCAAACCACTGACTTCTCCCCTTTGATTCCTTCCCTGAATTTGTCCTGTTGGCTTCCCATCTTCTTAAAATTTTATTCTCTTCTTGGCTCCTCTGACAACTCGTCTCGGGTTTTTCACTTACTTCGTTGTTCATGCCATGTCATTTCTGCTGGTGGCTTTTCCTCTTGAATGTTGGTGTCTTCCTTTGTTTATGCTTCAATCTTTCCCCTGGTGATACCGTCCATTTCCAGTGCTTCATCTCCTAGAAGCCAAAGCACAAATCTTCTACCCAGCCTTTTTTTCCAAACTCTAAACCCAGTGATTCTCAAGTTGTGGTGATTTTTCCTCTGTGGAGACATCTGACATTGTCTGGAGGCATTTATTTTGTCATGCCTGGAAGGGGTGCTACTGGCTTCTAGTGGGTAGATTCCAGGGAGGCTGCTAAGCACCTTACCATGTGCAGGACAACCCCACAACAGAGAATTATCCAGTCCCACATGTCAATAGTGCTGAGGTTGGGGAATCATGATCTAGACCTGCTGGACTTTTCCATTTGAATATCCTTCAGAAACAGCAACGTGAATATATAATAAAATAAATTGCTATCTTTCTCCTCACTTTTCTGCCCAATTTGGTATTTCATTTCATAATGATACCAGCTTAACAATTGCAATAGTTAAGAATATGTAGTATTAACCTTGCCTCCTGGCAGTTTCCAAATACCTAGGTCTTCCCGAATGTGTGATCTATTTATTTCTAGAATTTGCTTTCTCCGCTTTCTGTCCACTATCACTAACAGAGTTCAGGACCCAGTCATCTCTCCAGCCCTCTTCAAACAATTCCCAAACTACTTTCTGTTTCTTCACTACTACCTCAATCCATCTGTCACCCTGAGGGCAATATGACATTTGATCTCATTTCTTTGCTTAAAAGCCTTTGAGGGTTTTCCATTCCTTAGCATGGCAAAAATACTTTTCATAAATAGATCTCAATTTACCTTTCTCATCTTGAATCTTTATCTTCTACATTTTCATCCTAAGTACCTACTAACATGCCTACCATAAGGAGATAATTAACAAATATTAATGGAATTTGTTTTGAGTAGTTGGATACATATGTCCTTCACTTTTTCTTATTCTCAGCCTTTATTTTGTGATATGCTGATGAATTTAACTGGGAGTGAGTCAATATATTATTTGATTTGAGAACTAATTCTAATTGTTTTGTCTTTTTCACACTACCCCACATCAGATGGGTGTTTTTCAGAAAGTAGATATTTTTCACAAAGTAGATATATACTTTGTCAAGAACATTTTATCCCATAAAATTTATTCATTGCTACTCTTCTTCATTAGCATTTAGTGTTTTACCAAAATTTTTTTTATCTTAATGCAGATCAAGAGCAGAAAAACTACCATATCAGAAAAGAAAGAGTAGAAAAATTTTAATGTTTCTGTTGGAAGGACACAGGTTAACCAAAAGAGAAGTTAAGGGCTGTGTGGGGTGGCAAAATATGTATCAAATCAAGAGTCAGCAGATTCTAAGGCAGCATCCATTATTTTGCTGTGAGGCTTTGAGAAATTTGGTAAACATGTTCCCTATACATAAATTAAGGACTTGGTTTAGATAAATTTCAAGTTTAATAACTGTAGATTTTAGAAGTTCATCTCTATAATATACTCAATTTCTTGACAACTAAATGACAAGAGCCCTTCTGACAGAAATTCAGTCACAATTTGGAGAATCTCTTTTCTTCCTCAGACCCACATAGATCCATAATTTTCTCACAATCCCTAGGCTCTTGAAGACTTTCTTTGGCCAAAAAATTCAACAAAATGACAAGCATATAACAATGGAGTTTTTTTTCCTCAGCGCATTTTTCCAGGTGGTGCATTCTGATAGCTCTTTGAAAGACATTAGAGGTATACCTGCAGAGCTTTTGGGTTTCCAATCATTAGTTCAATTGGATAAAATGGTGCTTTTTAAGTTCTTAAGTTTTCATCAGTGAAATGACATGAAAGGATAGAGGAATTATATTTTTTTATTAAAACCAACTGGATAAAATTCCAATAACTTTATTGGAAGATGCTGAACTATACCAGTATGATATAAATTTTTTGGTGTGCTTTTTAAAAAAATGCTGCTTCAAAGCTCTGTGGCTAAATCATTTATTTTTTTAGGTTTGGTGTTTAAAATAACAAGTTGGTTTCTAACAGTTTTGTGTCTATCTATAATAATTTTGAAAGCCTGCATATTGCTATGGCAACTATATATAAATATGTAATTAGGTACTTGGTATATTTGGGCAGAAATGACCCTTTAATCTTCTAATTGAAGAATGGCCACATAATTACACAGTGAGGGATTTCTGGACTCATTCCATTAGTTACTCTTTCCCCTGCCTTGTGTTTGAGACACCTCAACAGGTTATATCCATTCTTTCAGGATTCCAGCATTCTGTTTTACATTCTGAATTGGAAACTCGCTTTTGAGTTATTGATCAAAAGATCTCAATTATTACAACTTTAATAGTATCTACTGTAAAGAGAGAGGAAACTTTATGTACATCAGAGACTCTCCGTGTATAAGAATCATGCCGTTGGGGTTCTCTTGATGAAAAAATAAAATGGTCATGTTAGTTGATTATCCAGACGTACTAAGGAAATGCAAGGAATGAATTTCACTAATTGTCAATATGAGGATCTTCAAAGCATTTCAGTGAAGATTAAAGTAGGAACAGTTAATAGTCTCTGAATTTTATAATTTCCACCACATAGAATATAATCACCCAGATTGCAGTACAGTACTAACATGTGGTTAAAAAAAAATACAAAAACACATAAAATACTACACCAGAAAAATTTTATTGCACTTTCTATAAATGAATAAATGTTAATTAGTTTTTCATGTATTTTATTACCTATGCTTTCCAGATTTACGGAAGACATTTGAGCAGGAGCCCCTGGGAAAGGAAGTATCCTTGGAACAGGAAGTCTTGCTCCAGTGCCGACCACCTGAAGGGATCCCAGTGGCTGAGGTAAGTAAAAAATTTCTTTGCGTTTAGCAACTGGCACTTAGTTATTCTAACAGAGTTCTAATCCATGGCTAATGGTGCAGTGAATTAGGGTATGGCATGATGAATGGTTGGTAATGGAGTCCTAACTGCCTGCTGCTGGCAAAGTAGATTGATTGGGAACTGATTAATGACTTTGGAGTCAATTAGAATGCCCCACTGGACAAAGCCACAGTCAGCTTTGTTTGATTTTGTCATTCTCTTTCAAGAAATCAGAAATACTGCTTTATTTTATCTGGAACTTACCATACAGAGTGATGGTATGACTTAATAATGCATCACCAATTTTATTATTGTTCTTGATAATATGCAAAAAATGTAAGAAGGGATAATGTGTGTGTATGTGTGTGTCTGTGCATGTCAGGGAGTCTGTGGACTCCACATATGTATTTCTTGTTCCATGATGTAATCATGGACATACCTAAAAGCCATATTTGCACACCATGAATAAAAACATGTTTGAGGCATAACAAGTGTCAATTAATTTCACCTGTAAGGTTTCCATCAAGCTCTTCATTTTCATTTTGTGTTTTTGCTAAAACAAAACCTATTGATTGCTAATAAAGTACTTTGAATCAGATTCATATAATGACTTTTCATTAGCACCATATAGTACAGTGCCCTATGAAAATACCTGTTTATGGAGGATAGGCCTACAGGACCACAAGAGAGTGCCATGCTCTCCTTGAGATACTCCCATCATCTTAGAGCATACCGTTGAGGAAAATCATCTAATAATGTGTCTTTCATTTGTTAAAAATTAATTTCAAACTGTGAAAAATATTGCCCTTTTATGATTATTAGGAGAAGTCCTGATATGCACCAAACACTAGTGCTCTAGCTGATCCAGTATCCTACAAGCCCAGAAAAATTTTAATTTGACAAATGACATACCTACCAATTTGATGATAGATCTTGTTAGCCTCCAAACTACATAGGGTCCTTTGGAATTTTTATTCTTTATTTCATATATGGAAAGAGGCATTTTTAAATTGTTGCAATTTGGGATTGTATATAGGTCAGCAGATCTTTTGTAAAAATGAGTTCTAAATCGTCCCTATTTTAGGAATTACGAAGCAATATTATTTAGACTTACAAGTTGTCCAGAAAATGTTTAATAGCTAAGAATGCACTTACTATTAGATTTCCATAGCTTTTTCAATCTTTTGAAGGTTCAAGCAAAGGTGGGAGTCAGCTTAGTTAGCTGGTCCCATGACAACAAAATTAAACACCTGATTGCTCTTTCCCAATTAATAATAATAATAAATTATTTAGAAATTTAGGCAGTACCCTTACAAAATGACTGTTTTCCTTTAACAGCCTTTTATATCTCCATGTGTCAATGAAAAGATACAAAGTGACACTATTAATAAAATTTCTTTTTTTACTTTGTAAAAGAGAGCTATTTTTGCCTTGTAACTGGCATTCCATGGCACTTTCTAGCATTGTGTCAGAGATTTTTGCATGATTATAGCTGTTTTTTCCAACCACACCAAAACTTTATCTTCCAACACTGACATGCATGATTTATTGTGATTAAAAAGGAGGCAACTCCTCTATTCAATATTTCATTTCACTTATTACAACATTGCATCTGTCTCCTTAATTGTATTTCTAAAATTCTAATGCAAACTCTTTCATTAAACTATGTGAAAGACCAAAAAATATCCTGAGTAACATGGGTGTCCATAGCCTTGTTTTTACTTGATATATATATTTTAATTAAAATTTAATGGGGTGCTATGGTCAATAAAACTACATAGGTTTCAAGTGTACAATTCTGTAATACATCATCTATATATCACATTGTGTGTTCACCACGCAGAGTCAGTTCTCCTTCCATCACCATATATTGATCCCCTTTGCCCTCTTCTACCACCTTGCTCCCCCCTTACCCTCTGGTAACCACTAAACTGTTGTCTGTGTCTATGAGTTTTTGTTTCTTTATCTGCTTGTCTTGCTCCTTTGTTCCCTTCAGTTTTATATCCCACATATGAGTGAAGTCATATGGTTCTTGACTTTTTCTGTCTGACTTACAACACTTAGCATAACAACCTCAAGATTTTGTCACAAATGTCACTATATCATCTTTTCTTATGGCAGAATAGTATCCCATTGTGTATATATCCCACATCTTCTTTTACCAATCATCTATGGAAGGACACTTTGTTTTCATGTCTTGGCCACTGTAAATAATGCTGCAATGAACATCAGAGTACATATATCTTTACAGATAACTATTTTCAGATTTTTTGGGTGGATACCCAGGAGAGGGATTTCTGGGTCATATGGTAATTCTGTTCTTAAATTTTTTATTTGATTTTTGGAAAAGTCATGATGCCTTTTTGCAACAAAACCCAGAAAAAATACGTCATGACTTTTCTGACAACCCAGTAGGAACCTCCACACTGTTTTACATAGCAGCTGTAGCAATTTACATTCCCACCAACAGTGTATGAGGGTTCCTTTTTCTCCACAGCCTCTCCAACACTTTTTATTACTTCTGTTGTTGATGATAGCAGTTCTAACAGGTGTGAGAGCATATCTCATTGTGGTTTTGATTTGCATTTCCCTAATAGCTAGTGAAGCTGAACATTTTTTCGTATATCTGTTGGCTGTTTATATGTCTTGTTGGGAGAAGTTCCTGTTCATGTCCTCTGCCCATTTTTTAACTGGACTGTCTGTCTTTTTATTGTTGAGTTCTATGAGTTCCTTTTATATTTTGGATATTAGCCCTTTATCAGAGGCATTCTTTGGAAATGTCTTCTTTAATTCTGTTGGTTGCCTGTTTTGTTGATGGTTTATTTTGCTGTGCAAAAGCTTTTTAGTTTGATATAGCCCCGTTGATTTATTTTAGCATTTACTTCCCTTGCCTTTGAGGTCAAATTCATAACATTCTTTTTGAACCCAAGGTCCATAAGTTTAGTACCTATGTTTTCTTCTATGCAGTTTATTGTTTTGGGTCTTATATTTAGGTCTTTGAACCCTTTTGAGTTAATTTTGGTACATGGTGACAGATAGCAGTCTAGCTTCATTTTTTGCATGTCACTTTCCAGTTTTCCCAGCACATTTATTGAAAAGGATGTCTTTTCTCCATTGTATGTTTCTGACTCTTTTGTCTAAAGTTATCTGTCCATATTTATGTGGGCTTATGTCTGGGTTTTCAGTTCTATTCCATTGGTCTGTGTGTCTGCTTCTCTGCCAATACCATGCTGTTTTCATTATTGTTGCTCTGTAGTATAAGCTGAAGTCAGGGAGTGTGATACCTCCCACATTATTCATTTTTCTTAGGATTGCTTTGGCTATTCTGGGTCTTTTGTGAGTCCATACAAATCTGATGATATTTTGTTCTATTTCTTTAAAAAATGCCATTGGGATTGTGATGGGGATTGCATTAAATCTTTATATTGCTTTGGGTAATATAGCTAATCTCTGCAAAGACTTTCAGTGCAAGATCCTAGTAATTTCTTCATTTTTTTTAGTCTCCTCAACAAAGAGGTTCACTTTGTCAAGGAATATTCATGACTCCAAACTAATTGACTGTGAATTTTATTTGTATCATCACTAGAGAAAAGACCAATTAACACTTGGCAAGCTCAAAAATCATATACCCATTGACATTCAAAGGACTATATTTAATGCATTTTCTTTTCTTTCTCTCTTGTTTTTTTATCAGAGGAGAGATCAGATACACATGCTGGAAAGCAGGATAATAAATTCCTATGTATATTCTTTTCAATACCTGTAGAATCACCAAGATTGGAAAGCTAATGAATACTTTAACATGATGCTTTATAACTGCCCTTTGCTCAAAAGGGGCAGATAAATTAAAAAAGAAAGAGATGAAATATAATTTGGTGAATTAAAGGATTATAGGCTTATTTTAATTTAATGATAAATGCATTCATTATTTAATACTCTATTTGTTTGAAGAACCTAAAAGCATTAAAATAGCATAGAATGAAATATTGATCTTAAAGGGAAACCAGCAGGTAAAACTTTTATGTTTTACTATAAATAAAATCAGTCCTTAAGATATCAGGCCACAGTGTCAAGGATTTCTGCTTCTTTTGTATCCAAGGCAAATGATTCTGAAGAACTCGGATAGTCAATGGTCAATGAATACATGGCTGATTAAGTCAATTGATCTTTGTTTTATAAGTACATGTCTAGCTCCATTGAAGACGCAGTCAGGTACATTCTTTGTAGAATATTAGGAGGCAATAATTTTCTTTCTTTCCATATGAGTCAGTCACTTTCTAAAGAACTCTACTAATCTTAATTCAAATGGCATTTCATTTGGTGCACATAATGTCACAGGCATTTCTGAGGTAATAAAAAAAACATTTAATTTTATCCCCTCTTTTGGCTTTATTTTCTACTACAGAATGTTAGATGAATTTCCTTACAGAGCTCTAGATTTAAACCCAAGCATCACCATTTTAAATTCTGACTTTGGGCAAGGTATTTCAATTCTCTGTACCTAGGTTTCCTCAATTACAAAGTGAAGACAATAACAGTGCCTATCCAGAACATAATTATAAAGTTTAATTGAGAAGATATATGCAAATCACTTACAACATGTAGAACACACTTGAGAAACATCAGCCATTATTAGTACTATTATTATATTATCACCTATTGATTCACAGCAGACTGAATTCAACCTCTTCAATGCAAAATAGTCACTGCACACATTGCAGTTTTGCTAGGCGCTATAGACAGGAGCTTATGAAGCTTCTGTCCTGTGAAGATTCACTAAGATGCCCTTCTGTATTCTCTGGGCAATTGCTTTTGTTAGAGTCCATAAATGCTATAAATGAAGATAATGTGAGCTTTAAAATAAGCAAATGCCCTTATTTATGTAAACATCTACTTTATAAATGATTTGTTAACGTAAATATTTACAGCAAGTCACGATATGCTGCTGTCCTTTCTCTAATTTCTCAAGTTACTCTTCTCCA